CTCCCTGCGGGTGGCACGGGTGTGGGCACAGGTTCAACGCCATGCCATGCCATCCCATGCCATGCCATGTCCCCAAGGTGTCGCTGCCATCGAGAGCTCTCTGCAGGTGGCACGGGCACTGGTACAGGTTCAATGCCATGCTGTGCCATGTCCCCAGGGTGTGGCTGCCATCGGGAGCTCTCTGTGGGTGGCACGGGTGTGGGTACAGGTTCAATGCCATCCCATACCGTGCCATCCCATGCAATGCAGTGTCCCCAGGGTGTGGCTGCCATCGAGAGCTCTCTGCGGGTGGCACAGGTGTGGGTACAATGCCATCCCATGCCATCCCATGCCATGTCCCCAGGGTGTCGCGGCCATCGAGAGCTCTCTGCGGGTGGCACGGGCGTGGGTACAATGCCATGCCGTGCCATCCCATGCCATGCCATGTCCCCAGGGTGTGGCGGCCATCGAGAGCTCCCTCTGGATGGCACAGGCATTGGTACAGGTACAATGCCATACCGTGCCATGCCATCCCATGCCATGCGGTGTCCCCAGGGTGTCGCGGCCATCGAGAGCCCCCCTCCGGGTGGCACAGGCGCTGGTACAGGTTCAATGCCATGCTGTGCCATGTCCCCAGGGTGTCACTGCCATCGAGAGCTCCCTGCGGGTGGCACGGGCACTGGTACAGGTGTGGGTTCAATGCCATGCCGTGCCATGCCATGTCCCCAGGGTGTCGCGGCCATCGAGAGCTCTCTGTGGGTGGCACAGGTGTGGGTACAATGCCATACCGTGCCATGCCATCCCATGCCATGCCATGTCCCCAGGGTGTCGCGGCCATCGAGAGCCCCCCTCCGGGTGGCACAGGCGCTGGTACAGGTTCAATGCCATGCTGTGCAGTGTCCCCAGGGTGTGGCTGCCATCGAGAGCTCTCTGTGGGTGGCACGGGTGTGGGTACAATGCCATCCCATGCCATGCCATACCGTGCCATCCCATCCCATGCCATGTCCCCATGGTGTCACTGCCATCAAGAGCTCTCTGCGGGTGACGTGGGCACTGGCACAGGTATGGGTACAATGCCATACTGTGCCGTGCCATCCCATGCCATGCCATGTCCCCAGGGTGTGGCTGCCATCGAGAGCTCTCTGCGGGTGGCACAGGTGTGGGTACAATGCCATACCATGCCATCCCATGCCATGTCCCCAGGGTGTGGCTGCCATCGAGAGCTCCCTGCAGGTGGCACAGGCGTTGGTACAGGTACAATGCCGTGCCATACCGTGCCATGCCATGCCATGCCATGTCCCCAGGGTGTCGCTGCCATCGGGAGCTCTCTGCAGGTGGCACAGGTGTGGGTACAATGCCATCCCATGCCATGCCATGTCCCCAGGGTGTGGCTGCCATCGAGAGCTCTCTGCGGATGGAACGGCTGTGGGTACAGGTTCAATGCCATCCCATGCCATCCCATGCCATGCCATCCCATGCCATGCCATGTCCCCAGGGTGTGGCTGCCATCGAGAGCTCTCTGCGGGTGGCACAGGCGTGGGTACAATGTCATACCGTGCCGTGCTGTGCCATCCCGTGCCATGTCCCCAGGGTGTCGCTGCCATCGAGAGCTCGCTGCGGGTGGCACTGGTGTGGGCACAGGTTCAATGCCATCCCATGCCGTGCCATCCCATGCGGTGTCCCCAGGGTGTTGCTGCCATCAAGAGCTCCCTGTGGGTGGCACAGGCATTGGTACAGGTACAATGCCATGCCGTGCCATGCCGTGCCATGTCCCCAGGGTGTCGCGGCCATCGAGAGCTCTCTGCAGGTGGCACTGGTGTGGGTACAGTGCCATGCCGTGCCATGTCATCCCATGCCATGTCCCCAGGATGTGGTGGCCATCGGGAGCTCTCTGTGGGTGGCACGGGCGCTGGTACAGGTGTGGGTACAATGCCATGCCGTGCCATGCCATCCCATGCCATGCGGTGTCCCCAGGGTGTCGCTGCCATCGAGAGCTCCCTGCAGGTGGCACGGCTGTGGGCACAGGCTCAATGCCATGCCATGCCATGCCGTGCCATCCTGTGCCATGTCCCCAGGGTATTGCGGCCATCGAGAGCTCTCTGCAGGTGACACAAGTTTGGGCACATGTACAATGCCGTGCCATCCCATGCCATTTGGTGTCCCCAGGGTGTGACGGCCATCGAGAGCTCTCTGTGGGTGGCGCAAGCACTGGTTCGGGTGTGGGTACAATGCCACACCGTGCCATGCCATGCCGTGCCATGTCCCCAGGGTGTCGCTGCCATCGAGAGCTCTCTGTGGGTGGCACGGGCGCTGGTACAGGTGTGGGTACAATGCCACACTGTGCCATGCCATGCCATGTCCCCAGGGTGTCGCGGCCATCGAGAGCTCCCTGCAGGTGGCACAGGCGTTGGTACAGGTACAATGCCGTGCCATACCGTGCCATGTCCCCAGGGTGTCGCTGCCATCGAGAGCTCGCTGCGGGTGGCGCAGGCGTTGGCAGACGATGTGGATTTCTGCTGCTTCGCCTTCTCCACCTTCGGCAAAGGGCTCATCAAACGCTGCCGCACCAGCCCCGACGCCTTCATCCAGATCTCCCTGCAGCTGGCACACTTCCGGGTATGGGAATGGGATCTGTGGGGTGGGAATGGGATCTATGGGATGGGATCTATGGGAATGGGATGGGATC